CCAGCAAATGCACCACATTGCGGCTATTGTCTAAGTCCTGGTCTCGAAGCAGTTCCAAAATGCGTATCTCTTCTGCCGCCTGTTTCGTAAATCTCCTCTCATTCCGCACCATTTTTAGGCCGACAAATGTGTTGGTCTTGTGATCAAATGCCTTCACCACCTGACCGAAACTACCCTTTCCCAGAATCTTCAACACCTCGTACCTGTAGGCGACGTGGTCGTGAGCGGTGTGGATGTACGAACCTTGGTCATCGTCAAAACCGTAATTCTTTCCACTGCCGGGAACAGCTTGGCGCTTATTAGCGTTGTGTCCAACAAAATAGATATTTGGGTAGTTGAGAATTTCGGTGAGCTCATACGCTGTAAGTTTGCTTTTGAATTGTCTTATTGCCATTTCGGGGCTGATTCCCGCTGAGGGGAGGGACTCCAACTGCTGTCCATCCCAGACGGGAGCGGCGGCGATGGTGTTTCCGTTGACCCGAAGGCCAGAGGTAGCGTAGTGTGAATTCGGTTGAATGGCAGTTCCAGAATCGACGCCGGCTCCGTTCCACACACGAACCAAAGGTGGATCGGCCTCATTCCTAATAGTCGATGGTAGTGAATTCGTTTGGTTGGGCGATGATCTAAAGGGGCTTTTACTAGCAGGCAAGGTCCGATTTGGAACTTGTTTTTGATTGACCAAGTGAACCGCCGGACCTCCGTTGGCGCAGTTGGCATTAAGGAAACTGCCAGACTGCCCATTGTTCGAAGACGAGCTGCTGACTAAACCTTTGTGAATGTGATCACAGTAAACGTGGGAGAGGGTGTAGCCTTTGTTGGGATGCTGATTGAAAGACGAGGTGCCACATAGAGCTGGCGCTTGGTTGTCAGTGGCTTTCATCGATCCCATTGATGTCTTCTTAGTTTGATTGGTGTTATTCGAGTTGTTAGAAGATCCAAAGAGAGAAGAAACCATCAAAGGTTTGTGCTTTACTTGCTCAAGAAAGGTGGCGCCCTTCGAAATTGCCGACGACTCGATCGGAGTTAGCCAAGTGACAAAGAAGGCCTTTTTCAATATGCTCATAGAAGACCTGGATAAAATTCAACTGTAATGTTGAATCACGGTCTTCTTGTCTCTCTATTGTGCGTTTCTACCTTTCATATGGAGTTCGGCTACAAAAGTAAAAGCACAGGTTGTACACTGAAGCGGATGCGGGAAATAGAATTCAAGTTGGGAAGCGTGACAACATTGCTACACTAAACATATGCCATGCAGATGCCACCACAATCTTCTCTATTTCTCATAAGCGTACTTTGCCTACATTATAACACTTTTCGGAGCCTTCTGTCTACCAAAAACTACCACTCTGCTATTAGATAACAATTGCAAATGCAATCTAAACGCTTTTTCTCAAAAGAATAAAAAAATAATTCACAGACACAACCACTAATCACCACTTTGTTAATAACCTCTGAACAAAGTAAGAACGAAGAACATCAAAATCGATTATTTATACTGCACGAATCCACGTGCATCGAAATCTACAAATTTCACAAACGAACAGAACTCTGGGCTCAATTTCATCAGAGTTCGACTACCAAATATTTAAAGCTTTTATTCAATACGCACACTAAATCAAGTTTCCAAAAGGTTTCGTCTTAGGACTGTGAAAGTTGGGAGACAAGCGAAGTCGTTATAGACTCATTCATGCTTACTGATTCAAGTCAAGTTCTTCATATCAGCGTCAGTGTTATGAGAAACTGGCATGGGTAAATTACTGCATAAACCTCGGCAGTAATTTCCTGAATAAATTGTTTTGCTTGCATTTGCAAGATTGTACGATACGTTTGGCAATTTAGGCTACCTCAAAAATGGTGCAAGTTTCAAAACCAGCCTTCAATGCCTATAGATAAACAACCTATTTATATCTTAAGAAAAATAACTGAGGACCTTCAATAAGTCGAAAATGAAGTGTATGAACATGGAGATATCCATTTTTGTATAATCAACTTTATTTATAAATTCATAAATGCAACAAAATGACTGTAGAGTTATTCTGAACAAGTAAAATGCAACGAATACTGCTATTCTAATATTAAACAACAGTGTTTTATTAAAATATTCAATGCTACTTTAGTTATGAAAACAACCCACTGGGTATTACTGTTTATATTTTGTAAACAAGTGTAAATGGACTGACGGGAGTGATCCTAACCGAATTCGCTTGGATACACGTTGCAACGCATCCAACCTGCTTCCGAAATTTTGTAAACTTTAGGCAATGGTGTCGAAAACATTGATTAAACGATTAGAAACCAAATACGACAGGTGTGGCAATGAACGTACGCAACACCAGTGGAAAGGGGTCAAGGACAGTTCTGAGTATTAATAAATAATACGGCCCTACCAAGCCCTACATAGTAACATTAGATACATCGTTACATCTTGTACCATTAATTCTCAATTGGTAAAGGAGACACCCAGTGTATTTTCTGTAAAGTGACATTGGGAAGGTTTAGATAATTACCATAAAATACTTATCCATATACAAAATTAAATCCTTCGGTTTTTGCAATTAGAACAGCAATCCTTTTTGACAACGAGAAGATCAGGAAATTAAATTAACCACTACGTGAAATTTACGCTTATTTAGCGATGTCAAAATAGGCGCCTGTCATATTGGCAACGGCGGCGTCACAAAAAGGTCGCTAAATGATAAAACAAGAAAGGCTAAGATATCAACATTAACTTAAACAACCCCACTAGGCAATAAAAAGTTCAAGCTCTCCACCATACAGTAGTAGAAAGAAACTAGCAACATTTTAGGCTGTATTATTTATTTTAAGGTAAATATATCTCAACATAGATTCCCAGGTAATTAACTAAATTAGAAAGGGGACTTCGCTAAATAATTGTCGGAATAATAAAAAAACTAAAAAAATGTTAATCAGAAATGTTTGTTTTTTAAAAAAAATAGGTTGTTGGGCGATAAATTAAAATCAAATAATTATAAATCATAAAAAAATTCCTATTTGGGATATTTCGCAACCTTTATTTAAAATAAGCACAGAATTCCAATGGGTACTCGTATTAGTTATGCGGCACATTTCACATTAAATTAACTAAAGTAATATCTTACGATTTATAAAGACTGCATTGATAAATATTGCATTAAAATTCCATCCGGTAATTGCATGTACAATATCGTGGAAAACAATTTTTAAATATTTAACAAACTGCCAGATTGAATTTTTACTGACAACGTTATTAGAAACAGAACAAGAACTATTTGTTCATCTTGCTCAAAAAAGGAAATTCGTCACAGAAAGCAAAAAAAGCAACATTAACAGTTTTAAAATACCCATATTGATGCATTTGTTTGAGGCATTTCAAGGGGAACTGCCATGCTACTCTGTTCAGCTCATTTTAATTACACATGCCTTCGGGTTTGATATTGAAGCATACTAAACAAAGGAAGGAAAAAATTGATGACTTAGTAAACGTATTAGTTACTTGTAATCTTCAGCCATGTTTGTGACAGTATTTCAATTGATGTAGTCATAGAACATCCCAACAGTCCATAACCTCGTGCCTGATATGGGCTGCAATACGATGAACGATCAGTCCTCTAAGTTGTTATGAATACCGCGGGTTTTATCGACCAGGAAATACACATGACTAAGTGCTAACGACAACAATTCACTTTGATAATCATAACACGCGTTTTGAAATTTTATTCCTACGTCTAATCCACACACCTCATTTTCCTCATAAAACATGCCGTCCCAAACGTCTCACACTTTCGTGACACTTATTGCATTAATTCAGTCCTGAAATACACTCTTCAGTTCAATATGTCATATATCAACACTTTGCATCCAGGAAACAGTTTGTGACACCAAACGCGTCACATAAACTGCAAGCAGAATTCGATCGTCGACACAGGCCTGCTTCAGTGACAGAACATTACGACAAAGACACTTATGTTCCTTTGTATTTGTTCTTTCATCTTATTTACTGTAAGACTATATGCGTTGGATATATTAATGTTTGGCTTACAATACTACCGCCATAAGCAATCGAAAATACTATTGACCTCAGCATAATGATGCGTTTCCACTCATCAAATCTGAACGGAATTTATGCCAACATGAACGATTTCCAGTAAGTCCATGTAGTCAGTGAGGTGTGAAACCTATTCTCACAAAATCCAGGCAGCTTCTTTAGCATGACAATCACACACTATCCCAAGTGTGCAGTCTACGCTCCTGAAGGCGACACACCATTATTGCTAGAACTCAAGAAACCGAGGTGTCACATCACAAATTCTACACCTCAGCCTACCCTTAGCATGAATGAAATCACATTCAGTCACCAATCTGGAATATGCCACCAGGAGACAATCCGAAATCGTCTTCACATGAAACATACACACAATGCTGCAAGCAATCACACAGTCGCAACACTCCGCCACATGTCCCACTGAGACTGCGTCCGTTGTTTTGCATACAGGCACCAAGAGCACTGCCCACGACCGCAAAGATTGTGCTTATTGAAGACTTCCCGGATGTTTGGCACCGTCGAAAAAACGACTTTCACAATCTCCGTGTGAACCAACCATGGCGCGCCCACTCACATCCGTTCCACGGTGGTCGACTTGGTGTTTGCTAACAAATTCGCCTGGATTACCACCAAGGCTTCACACGCTTCATCGCTACGCCTTGTCAGTGCAGATTAATGCAAACTATACAGGTGTCCACCAATTGGGGAATAAAATGCAGAAAAGGCAACAAAGCAGAATTTACTTTTCAAAACAAATAGAAAAAGAGGTCCGTCGGTGTAAAACAAGCCATTGAAAGTATATTAGGGAGTAGAAGAGCGGTGCATACGCTATCCTCTTCAGGCAAGCTACAGAACCGAGGAGCCAAGTAGTGGTCGGGCCAAAAGGTGAGTGTGCAAAAAGAGATCAAGTACAGCAGTTCTATGGAGAGTACTTCGAACGATGGGTCTGCTGCCACCATGTGTCCCATTTCTATAGACTTCCTTGATGTGGCGACTGATCTAAAATGAACAATGCACATGCTTACCAACTGCTATCCACTCCAACAATCAACTATAGGCAAAACCGCGGCACACGCAGGCATGTTGGTTTGTCAGAATGAGTTTGGCATCACTCACATATCCCACTTAAAAAGCATGATATCGCACCAGACGTCAAGCATCTACTTACCATCAACACGACGCATGTGACACGCAACGCGAGGGTGAGGAGTAGGAGGTGGATGCTGTCCTGAATAAGGCAACTGGGAAGGCATATCGTAGGGGGCATACTGCGGATTCTGCGATGTCACATATGGCGACGGTTGCAGTCTTGGTGCCTGCTCATACAAACCAGAGGGTTGCAGTGGCATCGACTGAGAATAATCGCTTTTAACTCCTGTCGTTGATGCCTTATAGGCCCCAGTTGCCAGGTGCAAAACTCTTGAATACCTGGGGCTGAAATATCCGACGTTGTAGTGACATAGCTAACACTTTGAGATCAGGTACTGCTCCGGACTCTCAGTGTGGCCACCCACACCGTCGTTAGCCACAACGTGATCCGTAGCCGACGTCAATTAAACATAGCATTCAGATGAAGCAGTCTCCGACACCACGATAGATGTGCTTTAATGCAGGCGTGATATTGAAGTCGTCTGTTGAGGAGTGACTGGCGGTGGTTGTGGTGGTAAGGGGGACTGACGATTTGTCGACGCGGCATAAAATTGTAGTGGGGTTTTTGGTAGTGGTAGCTGTTGCGGCAACTCAGCCGGCCAGCGCGGATGGTGTCAACGGTAATCAGACACAAACTGGGACAGGCCTTGAAGACAAGTAATGATTAAAAACATCAGTAAAGATCATTCAGTGAGGCCAAGTCCATAGGCATCAACCAAATCGATAGTATGGTGTACAGAAGGCACCTTAATGGAGCTTCGTCACGACAGCAGTCACCCACGCGGAACGTCCAACGACGACACTACCACTTACCCATGGAATGCGGCGTTATTTCTTGCTAGGGTGGCTGCGGCTGCAGCTGCAGTTGTTAG